ATCCCCCCTATAGTAATTCTATAGTAATTCATCCCCCCTATAGTAATTCATCCCCCCTATAGTAATTCATCCCCCCTATAGTAATTCATCCCCATATTAATTCATCCCTCATATAGTATTTCATCCCCCATAGTACTATTCCCCCCCAAGTAGTAAGCCAAGTCCCCCCTGTGTCAATTTACTTACCTTTGCTCCGCGCGTTCCTCTCGCCGTGTTTCCCGCGCCGTTCCGGTCTTCAGGGCGGACTGTGAGAGGAGCCTAGCTCCCCTCACGTTCGTCACGCTGCCCCGCCTACACACATTCTGACAGTATCACGCTCCGCGGGCCGGATTAAATGGTGCGCCGGGCCGTATACGGCCCGCGGCCGTAGTTTGCCCATTGCTGCTCTAGCTCCTTCTACAGGCCTGTAGAATTACTACACTTAGCTCGCACCTCCTGTTTTCTGTTCTGGTTGAGGCATAACCTGACAAAAAAGAGAACACATTCATATACAAGCCAGCAAGAGGAACCACCTTGTGTGGCAGGGACACAGGTAGCTGACCCAACAAGAAGGGTTGAATACTTGCAGCAACAAGGAAGCAACAAAGCAGCTGAGTTTCAAGACATGGGCCACTAAAAAGCTAAGATAGGAGAACATTTAAAGGGCTGGCCTATTATGGGCAATCCTGTGGTGACAGGGTCTCTGAAGACATTTAAAAATAGTCAAATATTAAACATGTAAAAAAAACATCCTAAGTATGATAATTGCATTACAGTTTACGTAAAAACACATACTTGGTATGCTGATATGCAGGAGAACTTGACATATCGTGAGTCATTTCCTCAGCTCAACAAGAGGAAAGACCGTGGGGGAAAAAAATTTCACTTCATGTCAAATTTCAGTTTTGTTCTGCGATTAAAATAAAGATACTGACTTTACAAGTTTATGAAAAGAAAGCCCCATCCGTACCAGGGGAAAAAAAAGTGACATTTGTTTTGATGCATAAAACGGTTTTAAAACAAAAAACAAAAAAAAAACAAAAAAAATGTGTTCAGACCCCCTTCCTTTTTTTTTTATTTATTTTTTTAAATCTTATGTTGCAGCCTGACATTACAGTTGTTTAAATTCATTTCTCATTATTCTCAGTACCCCATAATGACAAAGTAGAAAACAAAGTTTTCAAAAGGTTTGCAAATTTATGAGGAAGGAAAAACTGAAATATGACATTAGCCTAAGTATTCAGACCCTTTGCAACAACACTTAAAAATTTAGCTCAAGTGCCTCCCATTTCTCTTGATAGTTGCCGAGATGTTTATACACCATGATTGGAGCCCACCTTTAGTAAATTAAATGGATTGGACATTTGGAAAGGCACAAACCTCTCTATAAAAGGCCTCACAGCTGACAATGCATACTGTATCAGAGCAAAAGCCATGGGGTTAAAAGGAAATGCCTGCAGAGCTCAGACACAGGATTATTTCAAGCACAGATCTGGGGAAGGCTACAAAAGCTTTCTGCTGCACTGAAGGTTCCTAAGAGCTCAGTGGCCTTCATAATTCTCAAATGGAAGGAGATTTTGCAAAGTCCAAGGGGGTTTTCATGTGTTTTGCACTGAGGAGAAGCTTCAGTCTAGCCACTCTGCCATAAAGCCCAGATCGGTGGAGGGCTGCGGTGATGGTTGTCCTTTTGGAACTTCATCCCATTTCCACACAGGATCTCGGGAGCTCAGTCAGTGACCATTGGGTTTTTGGTCACCTCTCTTACCAAGGCCATTTGTCCCTGATTGTTTGGCGAGGGAACCAGCTGTTCAGAGAGTCCTGGTTGTGCCAAATTTCTTCCATTTGAGAGAACTATGGAAGCCACTGTGCTCTTGGGAACCTTTAGTTCAGCTGTTTTTTGCAACCTTCCCCATACCTGTGCCTTGCAATAATCATACAACCCATCACCACAGCCCTCCAGCGATCTTGGCTGTATGGCAGAGTGGCTAGACAGAAGACTCTCCCGTGCAAAACACATGAATGCCAGCTTGGACATTACTTCTTCCATTCGAGAATTATGAAGGCCACTGTGCTCTTGGAAACCTTCAGTGAGGCAGAAGTTTTTTGTAGTCTGCCCCAGATCTGTGCCTTGAAATAATCCTGTCTCTGAACTCTGCAGGGAGTTCCTTTAACCTCATGGCTTTTGCTCTGATACAGTATGCCTTGTCAGGAGAAGCTTCAGTCTAGCCACTCTGCCATAAAGCCCAGATCGGTGGAGGGCTGCGGTGATGGTTGTCCTTTTGGAACTTCATCCCATTTCCACACAGGATCTCGGGAGCTCAGTCAGTGACCATTGGGTTTTTGGTCACCTCTCTTACCAAGGCCATTCGTCCCTGATTGTTTGGCGAGGGAACCAGCTGTTCAGAGAGTCCTGGTTGTGCCAAATTTCTTCCATTTGAGAGAACTATGGAAGCCACTGTGCTCTTGGGAACCTTTAGTTCAGCTGTTTTTTGCAACCTTCCCCATACCTGTGCCTTGCAATAATCATACAACCATCACCACAGCCCTCCAGCGATCTTGGCTGTATGGCAGAGTGGCTAGACAGAAGACTCTCCCGTGCAACACACATGAATGCCAACTTGGACATTACTTCTTCCATTCGAGAATTATGAAGGCCACTGTGCTCTTGGAAACCTTCAGTGAGGCAGAAGTTTTTTGTAGTCTGCCCCAGATCTGTGCCTTGAAATAATCCTGTCTCTGAACTCTGCAGGGAGTTCCTTTAACCTCATGGCTTTTGCTCTGATACAGTATGCCTTGTCAGTTGTGAAGTCTTTTAGAGAGGTGTGTGCCTTACCACATCATGTCCAATCAATTTAATTTACCACAGGTGCCCTCCAATCAAGGTGTAGGAACATCTCAGCAACGATCAAGAGAAATGGGAGGCACCTGGGATAAATTTTAAGTGTTGTTGCGAAGGGTCTGACTACTTATGCCAATGAGAGTTTATTTTAAAGTGAGAAAAAAAATGAATTTACAACTGTAGTATCAGGCTGCAACATAATATTGAAATAAGTGAAGAGGGTCTGAACATAGATACACACACACACTTTTTTCCTTTGTTATGCTCCTACAGGGTGTGGAAATTGTAAATTATGAAAGTGTTCTACTTCGCAAAGTATGAATAACTTTATTACCAATAAAGAGGGAAGCAAAAAGGTTCACCTTAATCCCACCCCCTTCAGCTACATATACCCACCACCCCTCTTCCCACCTGCCACTCTGTGTGCCCACAGAATGGGTAGAAGAGTCATTAAACTCTACATGCTGGGGCCAACACAGAGCTGAGGACTGATGTCGCCAAATGACAGAGCTGGAAGCCTGAATGGCTAAACAAGGAGCCCCCTTGTCACTTGGGAAGAAGAGGGAATCATATGATTACTCTATATCCTGAAGTACCAGATGCACTGCTTCATCATCCTGGTTGAAGAGAGTGGCAGGGGACTGAATAGAATACAAGTAAAAGGTACGTATGTGCAGATTGTAGGGAGCCTGGCATTAAAATGACCTTGCCGTTTTTACTGGCATGGCTAAAACAAACACTGGTCAATCCCCATCTGTGCAACTGCTACAGGGCAAAAAACTTTGATAGGTGTCCTGCTCCATCAGTTATGAATAACCCCCTAACCCACAGAGGGCCAAGCAAAAAGGTTCACCTTCATTCCTGCCCCTCCAGACTCACTCACCTTCCACTTGCTCCCCTACGGCCCTGTTTGCCTGCCTGCAGTTGACAAATCTTTACATAACCTGCTCATCTCAACTGATGCTTTTTATGACAGCTTTTCAGAAGGCAGGACTGAGATGAATTTATTACAAACAATGCTTTCCCTGTGAGGCCAGTCTCTGATCTTGATACAGGTTAAGCAGTTATTACTTCGAGTTTATATAGCGCCAAAGGGTTTGCTCAGCGCTGTACAATAGGGGGGGACCATACATGGCACAGTACAACAATAACAAACAACGTACGAGGGGTAAGAGGGCCCTACTCTTTCGAGCTTACAATCTAGGAGGGAGGGGGTAAAGGTACAGTAGGAAGTGGCTGAGGGGAATGAGGGGTGGGAGGAAAGAGGGAGAATGGCCGTTAGGTGAGGGTGGGGTAGGCTTCCCTGAAGAGATGGGTTTTGAGGGAGCGCCTGAATGTGAAGAGGGAAGGCAACAGTCTGATGGATTGGGGCAGTGAGTTCCAGAGGATGGGGGAGGACCTGGAGAAGTCCTGCAGTCGTGCATGGGAGGAGGAGACCAGGGAGCAGGATAGAAGGAGGTCCAGTGAGGAGCGAAGGGTATGGGTAGGGCGGTACTTGGGGATCAGGTTGGTGAGGTAGTCAGGGGCAGTGTTGTGAACGGCTTTGTAGGTCAGGGTTAGGTTAGGACAGGGTTAGAACGGCTTTGTAGGTCAGGGTTAGGTTAGGACAGGGTTAGAACGGCTTTGTAGGTCAGTTAGGCGAAATAATTGGTGGTGGTTAATCTAGTCTGCCTTTAATGCCTAATATTCAAGTCTACTAATAAGAAAACAACAAGAGAAATCTGGCAAAAATATGTAAAAAGGTCAACACTGTAATAGGCAAAAGGTCCCACACTTAACAAATCCCCCCCCCCGCCCCGCCCAAACACCCCCTTACTCACCTTGCCTGTATCCATACTCAGTCACAGCACTGACAACATTGGTGTCAGTGATGTCAACCCTTCAGTCATGTGGGCATGCTCAGGTCTAGGTCTGCAAGCATTGTCATAGGACTAGTACAGAGGAAGAAGCAGCAAGAGATTGCATGCAAGGTGGACATAAAAGGAGCTGTGGGAGGTGAGGAGGGAGTGCCTGTGCAATGACACGGTTGCCATGTCCTGCTTAGTGACATTATCATTTCCAAATATGCACTCACTGAAAAATACACTTTAAAATGATCTCTAACCTCCAAGATGGAACAGAAAAGGCTCAAGGCAAAAAATAAAATAAAATAAAACCTTTACATTAGGAAGCAGTCCAGTACCTCTTTGAGTTGATCCGCACTACCCCAGGACGCAGACCGCTGATGGCCGATTTTCTTCTCCGTAGCCTCTTCTCCCCAACAGCTTGGTGTCTATTAGAAGAAACAAAGAAAGTTACTGTGACTGTTCCTGCTGATCCCCCACCCCCGAACAGTTATCAGGAAGAAGCAATACAGCCAGCCCTAAGCAGCAATGCAAATGACATTTCAGAACTTTGATACATGTGGATCACCAGCCGGGGGACCCAGAAGAGAAGGATCTGAGCCGCTCCCTATGCAATGGTTTTGCAGAGCAGGTAAGTATATGTATGTTTATTATTTTATTGAAATGTCACTTTAAAAGCGACTTTCACTCTGATCCATAGCAAAAACGCATATGCTGGTGTGGGTTTTTTTTTTGTGGTATAGGTCACGTAACTTAAAAAAACTGCACCAAAATTGCAACACAGGTACATTTTTGATGAGTTTTTGGAACAGTTTCCATTAGCCTTATGACTTCTATCAGTGTCCAGCCAAGCACAGGTTAAAGCTTGTAGGAGGCGTTTTCTTTCTGCTCTAGAAGCATGTAGAACCCCTGACCTCTGTCGGAACAGTGCTGATTGGCCCTGGCCACATGCACTCTCCCAAGAAGAGAAAACCTCTCTAGCAATACACACTAAACTGAGCATGTGCAGAGTGTCTCCACACCATATGTCTTATCAGGAGATAAGAGGGGGACGAACAGAGAAGATCAAAAACAGCCTTTTTACACAATGTAGAGGATTAACCCCTTAGGTTCCAGAGTATAACAAGTATGTTTTACTGCATCTACAGACTGATTGTACTGTTGTGGGTTTAGTAACACTTTAAAAACAAAATATGGGGAAAGGTGCATACAATGCAGAGATATACCGAATTAAAAAGAAGCGTGGACCCCCCCTGCTGCTTCCACAGAAGTACAGCCAAACTGCTAAAAGGAGCTTTGGCTACACGTCTCCAACTTTTTTCTGAAATATTGATTCTTTGGTAGAAAAAAAAAACAAAAAAAAACAAAAAACTAATTTTTCAGTTAAGTATTGAATATTTCCAGTGTTTGTACAGGAGCAGAATCCAAGGTCTTTTCTAACCAAGTGCCATTGTGCAGCAGAATCACTGGGCCTGATAGAAGCCTTGTGTCTCCGTACATTAAACATGCAAAAGGGGAGACTGGGCTCACTGAGGAGCTGTATGGAGCGGCAGAAAGACTCGCTGCTATTCTGTTACCAATTCTAAGCCGCTGTGAAATATTAAACAAGTCTCTCAAGTCACTAAACATTAGCAGTCAATTTTACAAAGCCCATGTATACCCGGCATGGCAAGGGAAACAGTTGTGTGAGCAGTAAAATATCTGGTTATACTTTTGTAGATTGTCAGATGAAGGCTTTCAAATAACGCTGGAAACTGTAAAACTACATGCAAGTCAAACTAAACCCAATCGTGTGCAGTTCAATTCTGGATGTCATAAGGAATGGTTAGCACCCGTCTGCATGCTTTTCGTGATTGAATCCCATTCAAGAGAACACAAAAAAAAATCCTCTTAACCACCCTCCCGCCCACCATATCGTACAATGGCGGACACTGGGTGGTTCTCTCAGTCTGGGAGGACATCTTATGACGTCCTCCCATTCTAACCGGGCATGCGCAGCTCCCAGAGCGCGGCAATTCGGACACAGATCACCAATCCTCGGAAATAGCCGAAGATGTCGGCTCGGTCATGTGATCAGCTGTGTCCAATCACAGCTGATCACATGTAAACACGGAAATGCCGGTTATCGGCATTTTTCTCCCCACGAGCTGTCACGCTGACAGAGAAGAGGAGAGCCGGTAATCAGCATTCCTCAGAGGGGACATGAGCCCTGATCGTCAGAGCGCCGCCCGTCAGAGCGCCGCCCGTCAGCGCCATATATGAGTGCTGCCTTTCAGTGCCCATCAGTGATGCCTGTCAATGCCCATCAATGCCACCTACCAGTGCCTCCTCATCAGTGCCGCCTATCAGTGTCCATCAGTGCAGCCTCATTAGCGCACATCAGTGAAGGAGAAAAATCACTTAACTACAAAATTTTATAACAAAAACTAAGAAAAACTTTTTTTTTTTTTTTTTTTAAATTTTCAGTGGTTTTTGGTTTAAGAAAAAATAAAAAAACCCAGCGGTGATTAAATACCACCAAAATAAAGCTCTGTCACAAAAAAAATGATAAAAATTTCATATGGGTAGTGTTGCATGACCGCGCAATTGTCAAAGCGCAACAGCGCTGAAAGCTGGAAATTGGCCTGGGCAGGAAGGGGGTGACAGTGCCCTGTAGGCGAGTGGTTAAATAAGTTGTACCTGTTTACAGGCAGCCTTCCCTTCTCTACATCCATTCATAGTCTAGAACTTTTATAAAGGTTGTCTGAACTTTTTGAAAAATGGGTCAGATTTGAAATTATTCTGCAGAGCTCTTCCAGGAGAGTACTGAGGGCTGATTTGAGGGAAACGACGCGCGCGCACGCACACACACACACACACACACACACACACACACACACACACGAGAAGCAATCTCTCCATAGAGAGTTAAAGTATCTATGGACAAAATGTAAAATCATAGTCATTTCCACATTGTATTTCTTCTGCACTGTAGTTATTTTTGGCCCACTCCTTTTAATCTAAACAATCTTGAAAGTTTATAAAAGTACTTTGTGAAGACACCCACACATTTACTTCCTTGAATTCTGTGAAACGTAGTCACTATGTCCTGTGGGTGGCACTGCTGGCTCTCACATTTCACAGAGCCTGCCTTCTAAACTACAGAGGTCCTGAGAGGAGTTGTTTCAGGAGGCAGAGTCAGTACAGGAATCACTGCTTGCAGGCAGCAAGGTACCATGGGATATGTAGTCCACTCCTCCATCACTCCTGTGATGGGAGGAGGTAAGCATTAATGACTAGGCCTCACTTGGCAACATACTGAAAGTTATCCAGTCAGGCTTCATGAGGTAAGTAAATAGCCTACACCAAGGACATTGTACAGCTTTGACTAAAGTGGAATAGTTTGTTTTGATCTACAAACACAACTTACCTGAATAGGCAGTTTTTCGGTAAAGGTAAACTAACCGTTTAAACCGGGTTATTACCTTGTAAAAACAGCAGTGACATCATTGTGCTGTAACCAGGGGCGGACTGACCATTTGAAACTCGGGCACTGCCCGAGGGCCCAGGGTCAGTAGGGGGCCCCATGCGATGCCCCTGGTACCTTTTTCATAGGCTTTTTTGAGTGTGGGCAAGGACACAGGAGCCCCATGATCTCCTATTGCCCGGGGGCCCCATGAGTTGTCAATCCGCCCCTGGCTGTAACAGTCTGTACAGTAGGGGACAGCAACCAGTAGATCTCAGGCAGGAGACTGGCAGATCATGGTCAGGGCTTGCTGACCTGATGCCCTAGAGCAGGGGTGGGCAAACTTTTTGACTTGAGGGCCGCAATGGGTTCATATATTGGAGCCGGGGGCCAGACCAAGAGTAGATGAATGATGTGTATGTGTCATCCATAGTAAGTATAGTAATATTCCCCCATAGTAAGCATAGTAATTAATCCCCCATATAGTAATTCATCCCCCATATAGTAATTCATCCCCCATATAGTAATTCATTACCCATATAGTAATTCATCCCCCATATAGTAATTCATCCCCCATATAGTAATTCATCCCCCATATAGTAATTCATCCCCCCTATAGTAATTCATCCCCCATAGTACTATTCCCCCGTGTCAATTTACTTACCTTTGCTCCGCGCGTTCCTCTCGCCCAATGTTCCCGTGCCGTTCCGGTCTTCAGGGCGGACTGTGAGAGTAGCCTAGCTCCCCTCACGTTTGTCACGCTGCCCCGCCTACACACATCCTGACAGCCAATGTATCACGCTCCGCGGGCCGGATTAAAAGGTCCGCCGGGCCGTACTTTGCCCATTGCTGCCCTAGATCATCAGAGTGCAATGCAGAGGGACTTCTTGTAAAGTTGGAGCTGTAGTAGGGAGCAAGAGTCACATAAGTTGATGTCCATTCTGTAGCGCTGGCTGCTACGCCCTGTCATGGTTGGTGGTTTTAGCACCTGGCAAGCATAACCCATTCAAGTGAATGAGAACGCTCTGCAAGTGCCCTGCAACTTTCTGCTGTACAGCAAACAAGGGGTTAAACAATAAAAAAGGCGGTGTGTTGTTTTTTTCACCACCTGCTTTAACCCCTTGACTCCACAGAAGCATTCAGTTGCAGAATGGTCCCATTTACTTGAATGGGTCTTGATTGACAGGCGGTAGCACCCACAAAAAGCTACAGAGTGTTTAATTCCTGCTTCAGCATGTGTACACCTTTGGCTGACTGATTTTTAGCTTCTCCCATGTTGTTCAGGTAGATCTCCACCTCTTTAACCCCCCTGGCGGTATTCCCGAGTGTAGTTCGGGGTAACATTTCAGTACCACAAGCGGTAACCCCGAACTACACTCGGGCTTACCATGCGGCGCTGCTCCGGGATATTCTTCACCTTGTCCTGCGCTCCCGCGATGTCCCCCCTGCAGTGTCCCCGGCAATGTCCTTCGGCGGATGCCGGCATCTGTCTTCTGGGTTCCGTCCCCTGCGACGTCGGGACGTATGGGGACGGAACGGTGGGAAATTTGAAAATGACAAAAAGTGACATTCACTAAATACACTAAAATCACATAGTATAACATTCCTGTATCAAAAAGCATTTCACATACATTTTGTCCCGAGTGCTTTGTCCGGCGCCCTGCCTGCATTTTTACTGTTCTTTTTGACTGGAAACTGAGAAACGTCCATGGCGTCCAAAAAGCGTCCCTTTAAGTCAAAAGCGGTTTTAGACCGGCTAGAGAACAGCGATAGTAAATCAGAACCACTTGCAGAATTGAGTGATAATGATTCGTGGGGGAAATCGTCATCAGACACTGAAACCGATTTTGCGACTTTGCTCAGTGATGTGCGAACTTGGCGCTATATTTCAAATTTCAGTGTTTTTGGTTTGATTATAATATTGAATTAAAATTATATTTTTTTTTAGGATTTATTAAGTTATAATTTATGATTTAGTGTTTTAAACTTTATCATATCCGGAATGTTTAATAGACTCTTGTTCAGACAGATTTCAGTGAGTTATTCCTAAAAATTACAGGCCTACAATAAAAAAAAAAAAAAAATACATATTTCCATGCAAAAAAAAAGGTACCGCTTTGAGCACAGAAATATGGACATAATCAGACCGCTAGGGAGGTTAAAGGTGCCTACCCCTGCTGTACAGAGAAGCGAGCCATGGGAGTGTCCTAGCAGGCCCCACCCACTACATACTGCAATAAAACTACGGAAGGAAGGCGGGTATGTCCCCCTACACAACAACAAAGAGCAGCAATGACTGGTCCTAAAACAGGAGACTACTGCACAGAAAGTGCAGGAATGGTTTCATTGGGGATTACTGCACAGATTGGAATGAAATTATATTTGTTTAGCCCCAATTTTGTCATGTTTTACTCTAGGCAAACAGATACATTTACAGTTGCAATAAATGCCCTCAATCCCCTCATGTTTTGCATTGTATTGGTATTGTTCTGTCACATGTTCTGTCCCCCTTTGTAATGTACAGAGCTGAGCGAACTATTGGCGCTTTATAAATACTGTATAATAATAATACACAATTATATCACATATATATATACACACACACACACACACACACTATATATACATACACAGAGGGCTGACAATAGCTCTTCATAAATAATTTGGCCTATGCAGAGTACAATGCGCCCAGCTCTGATCATCCACACAAGACAGCCTGCGGAGGGACTCACAATATCTACTGCATGTTAATGAGATATCGCTACAAAGAGCAGATTGTATGATGGCCTCATGCATTATTTCATCAAAGACCATTTCAATATACAATAAAACGAGGCTGCAGTTTTGAGTGATGCCACACTCAGACTATAAAATGGGATGAACATTCAAAGGCTACTATTGTGAACTGCAGTATTAGAGCGCCGGTAAAGAATTATCTTTATAGAGGAATATTTTACACAATTTCAGATAGGAGCGATTATACTGAAATGGACAGCACACTGCCAATAAAGTGTTACTAAACCCCCAACAGTACAATCAGTCTGTATATACAGTAAAGCATGCTTGTTATACTCACTGTGGAACCTAAGGGGTTGATCCTCTGCATTGTGTAAAAAGGTCATTTGATCCTGACTTCTCTGCCCCTCCTCTTGTTCAAGTGTCCACTTCTTATCTCCTGATAAGACAGACTGAACCCGTAGCCCTTCTGCACATGCTCAGTTTAGTGTGTATTGCTAGAGAGGTTAGTTTCTTGGGAGAGTGCATGTTATCAGCACAGGGCCAATCAGCACTGTCTAGACAGAGGTCAGGGGTTCTGCATCCTCCTAAAGCAGAATGAAAACTCCTCCTACAAGCTTTAACCAGTGCTCTGCTGGACAGTGATAGAAGTCACAAGACTGCTAACTGCTGATGAGAAAAGGTATTTAGAAGTTTACATTTACTAAAATAATTGCATTTCCATGTTCTGTGTACTGTGGGAGAGCAGATATGGTGAATGCAGGGTTTAGTAACACTAACAAAACCTCAGACTAGTTCTTTTGGATCACCAATATACACTCACTGACCACTATTAGGTCTGAAAAAAGCAAAAAAACGCCACTCCAGGTCGGCCCCCCTCTTTCACTAGCCCTCACACACTGTCAGGTGATGGTCCTGTCTGCAGCAGACCTCATAAGACAAGAAAACATTAAAAGGCCGCAAATCCAACAAAATCACCTTTATTACAAAATTCTTGGCATAAACCACTTCCAAAAAAACCTGAGGAACAAAATACTCCAGCTAACGCATTTCACGCTCCTTCAGCTCTTAGTCATTGCGGACTTTATTAGGTACACCTTGCTAGTACCGGGTTGGACCCCTTTTGCCTTCAGAACTGCCTTCATTCTTCGTGGCATAGATTCAACAAGGTGCTGGAAACATTCCTCAGAGGTTTTGGTCCATATTGACACGATAACATCAATCAGTTGCTGCAGATTTGTCGGTTGCACATCCATGATGCGAATCTCCTGATCCACCACATCCCAAAGGTGCTCTATTGGATGGAGATCTGGTGACTGTGGAGGCCACTGGAGTACAGTGATCTCATTGTCATCTTCAAGAAACCAGTAGGAGAAGATTTGAGCCTTGTGACATAGTGCATTATCCTGCTGGAAGGAGCCATCAGAAGATGGGGACACTGGAGTCATAAAGGGATGGACATGGTCAGCATTAATACTCAGGTAGGCCGTGGCATTTAAATGATGCTCAATTGGTACTAAAGGGGCCCAATGTGTGCCAAGAAAATCTCCCCCACACCAGTACACCACCATCCTGAGCCGTTGACACAAGGCAGGATGGATCCATGCTTTCAAGTTTACGCCCCAATTCTGACCCTACCATCTGGAATAGAGATTCATCAGACCAGGTATCCTTTTTCCAATTTTGGTGAGCCTGTGTGCATTGCAGCCTCTGTTTCCTGTTCTTAGCTGATCGGAGAGGCACCCAGTGTGGTCTTCTGCTGCAGTAGCCCATCTGCTTCAAGGTTTGACGTGTTGTACATTCAGAGATGGTATTCTGCATACTTTGGTTATAAAGAGTGGTTGAGTTATGGTTACCTATTATCTTGAACCTGTCTGTCTATTCTCCTCTGACAACCAGGCATTTTCACACCTAGATATTTTTTTTTTCGGACCACTCTCTTTAAACCCTAGAGAGATAGTGGTGTACTCACCTCTGGGAGATTATCTATCTATCCACACATATACATTCATACATACACACACACAGGTTATTTATGCAAGTGCTACAAATGGTACAATCTTCTTTTCGCTTTAAGAAGTCTTTAATGATGAATTCCAGGCAGATATTTAGAACAAATTAATGCCGCTTCACATTATTAAATGTCTTTGAATGCAGCAGTGCAAGTACCTGAATTTGGTCTGGTAGCAGCCTTTTGCAGTCCTTGTACAGCAGAGCTTACTCGGTTGTGCTGCACTGCTCAATGTGCTAACAAAGGATAAGCTGATAGGAGAAGAGAGCAGAGTGACAGCTAATCTCATCCCCATCTAGCCACAGGCTGGGGGATGGGCAAGACCTATGTTATTTAACTGCAGCAGAAAAGGCAGTTCTGTATAAATCTCAGAAATGGATGAACAAAAATACTAATCCTTTACCAAGTTCAACAGCTCCCATATTGATATTTTATCTGTGCATTTGCTGTTTGCCTTAGAGATTTCAGCTTTAGGACTTGGTAAGGAGAGTGACAATTTTAAGCTTCTTAGCAGGCAGTGAACTCATGGGAAAGGTCTACACATCCTGCATAAGTACCAATGAATTTGGCATTGCTGTACAAATTGATTTAAAAAAATAAAACAAAAATGAAGGAAACTCCCACATAGATATATGAGGCCTGCAAATGCTAACCTTTTGAACATGCAATTTACTCTGCCACCACAGTTCTTACTCCTTTCAGTTACTGCTAGGTAGGCAAGCATGCATCAAGCAAAGTCAGGGAAAGTCAGCACCCCTGAAGAACCTGCTTGTGCCTGGGTCAGTGACAAAGTCTTGAAGCCATAGGACTGGAATGTCAATCAGTAATGGTCGTGCCAGGCAACTGGCATTATCAGAAGGAGGGATAGCAACACCCACCTACATATTCTATCAGTGCAAGTTTCCCTGAAAAGGATTACCTGTGTGGACTTGTCATTCATACATGTAGGGTAGTGCACATGAGGGTCCCGAGGCCAGTGCCCGCTCAGGTAGGTTCCAGTTATGGCGTCCAAGGAAGAAGTCCTTCGTATTGCATTTGAGGGTCTCAGGTGATGTGAACTTGACCTGTCAGCTGCAGAAAAAAGAAAAAAAAAAGGGAAAGGGTTAATTTTCCTCTAAGTGAAGACAAAGCACCCATGCATACAAATTAGACCGTTCTCAAAGGATTCACGCTTGTGTAGTTTTATGCATATGCATTATGTCACTGAGGGAAAGTTTTTTTTTTTAACCAGCAACTTCCTGCAACATTTTAAAAAAAAAAAAAAAAAAAAAAAAAAAAAAAAACCACACGCCTGAAGTGCCTGCTTGTAGCCAGCTATGTTACATTGAGCTGGAAAGCACTGCACCCGGTCAGCAGATGCAATTTCAGGCTCCTGCACACACACTGCCTACAGATCTGTTGCCTGTACCTCTGTAAGGCTGTCATTGCAGTGCTGCAGGCAGTACAAGTGAACTACGGGCATGCTGATCAGAGCACTCACAGTTCTTTCAAACTACAAGCAAATCTTCCGCGGTGGCGGACGGTGCTTTATATCATTCACAGGAAACGGAGTGACTGACCCAGCTATGTGGGCGGAGACCCAGACATACTAATTTTGTGAACCGCAGGTGTGGTGAGAGGAACCCCTGCTCACTGTCCTGGGTGGAACATGCAACATGTTAGATTGTAAGCTCCCAAGATCAGGGCCCTCCTAACTCTCTTGTATTGAACTGTATTGTTGCTGTATTGTCTCCTGTTATATTGCAAAGTGCTGAGCAAACTGTTGGCGCTATATAAATCCTGTATAATAATAATGTTTCAAAGGGGAACTTATTCTTTAATTGTGGCTGGAGATTGGATGCATTTTTGGATGCAGTGGGGAAGGATTAGAACCTCTAAGCTTTTTACGGTTGTCTGTCGGTTGGGAATGTCCCCCCCCTCACTTCCTGTCAGGACAGAAGTGATAAGAAATCTCCCCAACTAGAGCACATCCACCTGCAGGACTCCAATGAGGAAAGTGGCAGGGTCTGCATCCTTTTGATGCAGATTTTCCTTTGTGAGTATCTCCTCAAAAATGACATTTTGTTGCAAGAGATGCTCAAAATTTGACTTGTATTTTAGTGCGGATGTCAGGGAAAAATCAATGAGCCAATCACACAAACAGGAAAAGACTTCTGGGGGATGTATTGCACACAATCTGAACAGAATACCTCTAGATTACCATAATGCATTGCATTTTGCAGAAAATTACAGCATTGCAGATTGAAAAAGGCAGTTTTAAAAATAAAAAACCTTCACTTGCAATAGGACTTGGGCAGAAATCTTAGATTGTAAGCTCTCAGGACCAGGGGGCCATTCTAACCCTCTTGTATTGAACTGTATTGTTGCTGTATTGTCTCCCTCTATACTGTACAGCGCTGAGCACACTGTTGGCGCTATTTAAGTCCTGTATAATAATATAATAATAATAATAATAAACCCCCCTCTGTCATTCCCTCCACTGGCTTCCGATTGCCCAACGCATTAAATTCAAACTACTAACATTGACATACAAAGCTATTCATAATACTGCCCCAAACTACCTCACCGACCTCATACCCAAATACTACCCAACCCGTACTCTTCGCTCCTTACAAGACCTCCTACTTTCTAGCTCCCTGGTCTCCTCCTCCCACGCCCAACTGCAGGACTTCCCCCATCCTCTGGAACTCACTACCCCAATCCATCAGACTGTCACCTACCCTCCTCACCTTTAGACGCACCCTGAAAACCCATCTCTTCAGGGAAGCCTACCCCAACCTCACCTAATTGCTGATCTCCTCCACTCCCCCCACACTCCATCCCCCACAGCCACTTCCTCCTGTACCACTACCCCCTCCCTCCTAGATTGTAAGCTCGAAAGAGCAGGGCCCTCGTAACCCCTCGTGTATTGTTTTGTTACTGTATTGTCTCATGTACTGTCCCCCACTATAATGTACAGCGCTGAGCAAAAACCTTTTGGCGCTATATAAACACTGTATTATATATAATAATTACACTGTTTTTCTTTGCATTATTTGCTCCCCCCACCCAAACGAAAGCGGAGTTTCCTTTTAAAACAATGTTTTTATTGTCGTGTGTGCTTGCTGTCCCTTTGACAACTGCACCCTATCCTCTTTTCTTTTAGAGGAGTCACAGACAAGAAGTGAGGGAAAATCTTCCCAATGGGAGATACTGAAATAAATTAAAAAAAAAAAAAAAAAAAGTTTGGTTTTAATGAACAATTTATGGAATTTGGGACTACTTATGACAACAGCAGTAGGTTTTCGTTTGGTAGGTCCAGCCACAGATAGCGGTACACCATTTGTCACTCCTGTGACTACAGACTGAAGAACACACAGACACAACTAGACGAGGAGGAGCAGACAGGTCACCTTTACTTCAAACGCCGAGCCTCAGGAAACTTCGCTTTTCAGTCTATAAAAACACCAGCATAGATGGGAACCAGACCCAAGAAAATATGTCACGGTAATTTGCCTACATTTTACTTTGCGAGTCTGATGTGCGTGGCTGCGATCTCGTAGTCACGTGCTAATGGCAGCTTCCTGCAGCCGCTGCTTGTTTGCAGACTCGGGTTAATGATCTTCTTAGCTGCAAAGTGTTGTGTTGAAGATGGAAATAATTCCAGTCCCTCAGACAACTTTCATACTATAAATGATATGAAGACTGCAGGCCTTTGTACAGATACAGAACATGAAGAATCTTCCTGTACAACCTTCCACAAAGCCACTGATTTACAGCAATCTATAGATCTAAGCAACTTATAACCACCAACCCCAGACCCCACGTGTGGTCAGATCAGTATTTTTGCTCCTGTGTTTGGCCACTCTACCTGGGATAAAGGTGGGATTGTTATTTACCTCATCAAACAAATATGAACGAATCAACCTTTGCATCACAAAGTATTTCACTTTTTGCAACTGAAAGAATAACTTCTTTAGCAATAAACCCTTGAAGTAGACCCCCACAAGCCATGTCAATTCTTCCTGAAGAAACTGCTGCCCCCACCTCCCTCCAGTGCTGGTGATACAACAAAAGCCTGAAGGGCGGGAGCTTTGGCCTTTACTCTGGCTGGTCCTCCCCAGCAACACAGCTGAATAAAGCTAGGATGAGGGAAGGCAAACTTTGGCCGTTTAGTTGTTGGGGAACTACAAGTCCCATCATGCTTCGACTTCTGGGAGTCATATTTGTGGCTATTACATCACCGACCTTGTCTCTAAATACCACCCAAACCGTACTCTCCACTCCTCGTAAGACCTCCTACTCTCTAGCTTCCTTGTCTCCTCCTCCCATGCCCGTCTCCAGGATTTCTCAAGGGCTTCACCCATCCTCTGTAACTCCCTACCCCAATCTATCAGGCTATCGCCTACTCTACTCACTTTTAAGCGCACCCTGAAAACCCATCTCTTCAGGGAAGCCTACCCCGACCCCAGCTAATACTGGAATCCCCTACTCCTCCGACCACTCCATCCCCCACAGCTAATTACCTTTTGTACCACTAGCCCCTCCCTCCTAGACTGTAAGCTCCAAGGATCAGGGCCCTCTAATCCCTCTTGTATTGAACTGTATTGTTGCTGTATTGTCTCCCTCCATAATGTAAAGCGCTGAGCAACCTGTCGGCGCTATATAAATCCTGTATATAATAATATTAGGAGTCTTGAAATGTCTCATGGGACTTTTAGTTCCACAACAGCTAAACACAGTCAAAAGTGTCTACCTCTGGACCAAGGACGGCTGTTCTAGTAGACCCCCACAAGCCATGTCAATTCTTCCTGAAGAAAACGGCTGCCCCCACCTCCCTCCAGTGCTGGTGATACAACAAAAGCCTGAAGGGCGGGAGCTTTGGGCCTTCACTGTGGCTGGTCCTCCCCAGCAACACAGCTGAATAAAAGGACTAGGATGAGGAAATGCAAACTAGGCTGTTCTAGTGCCACACCAGCACACTGCTTCCTTTTCCCGAGCCCTGCTCTAAGGCCTCATGCACGCTGGGCGTTTAAAAAAAATGTCGGTAGCTTTAGCTGTAAAAAGTTGTGTTAATGCATTTTTTAGCATTTCTGCATTAATGTTTTAGTCATGTTTGTGGTTTAATCAAAAAAAAAAAAACAAAAAACAAAGTTGGCTCAAAAAAACAGAAGAAAAAAAAAAAAAAAGTGTTTTTTTACAGCTCCTCTTGAAAACCCACTAGCTCTGGGGTTTCTTTCCAGCCAAAAAACGCTGATTAAAAGCCTGTGTGCGAATGGACACACAAGATAACATGCTGGGGAGTTTACTGGCAGTAGAGAAAAAAAAAAAAAAAAAAAAAGCCAGAAGCCAAAACCAGCCGCTGTAAAAAGGCCCAGGGTGCATGAGGCCAAAGGGGCAAGCGCCTGTAACATCAGGAGTACAGATCAGCGCCCAGCACTGCCGCCACCTCTACCAGTCTGAGTACTGCTGTTCAGGGTAGTGAAAGGCTGATCATTGAAATGTAAGTAGCTATACCGGCTGATTTAAAGAAAAGAAAATACAAGTAAAGATTTATCAAAAGCAGGGGTGCATTCATTAGCGTGTTCTGCATTAGACTGCACTAATGAGAACATGCTAACAGTCCCGCAACATACAAAACAAGTTTGCTGTAATAGTTTTCATTTTGAATGGCACTTCGACGCATCCAACTAGTGTACACATACGTTTCAGCCTCGATTTACACTGTTGTGGTGCGGAATATCGAATGTGATTCGCACAGGCACGGCACCACATTCCTGTGCAAGTTGCATGCGATTTCTGTGCGATGCAATTTGAGCCAAATATTTTTAATGCCTCAAATCGCACCGCATCAAAATAATACAGGACCCTTATATTGTCCACACTAGAATCGGATCGCATGAGTATTCACACCCAAGCGATCCGATTCTGCACATCGCACCGCATTTTGCGAACCAATTTCGGAGTATCGTTGACATACACACCCCCACAGTGGTTTGCATGAACGGGGTGCGATCATGATGCCATGCGGCACAGAAACCAGTGCGAATTGCGCACCCCATCAGTGTGAACCCCGGCTTAAAGAGATTGTAA